TCCCAAGACCCCTTCTTTCCTAGTGTTGGAACAATCGGATCTCTTCTTTTTCGTTGTTGGGACTCTTGAACCACTGTCTGTGGTACCACCACTTCAGCTCTAGTATAAAAATTTCCCCAAAACCCAACGTTACTGGCCGAAAGTTTCAATTGCTCACCCTCCTGTATTTATCTCCCTTTTTTAATCTGATGCAAGTTGAAATCCAACTTGTTCGCAGATGTCTTGTGATCACCTGTTCTTTCAAAACCGATAAAATTACTACCGAAAACGTATAAACTTAAACGAGAAAAAATGATAAAAACAGAAAGATGAACCCACCTAAAATTCAAACGTGACCAATGTCGTCCTTTCGTGAAAAAATAATGTCTGGTTCCTGATTGCTACGCGTTTTCCTCCCTCTACTAACGTTCGTATGGTGTTTTTTCCTTCCGGGTTACAAAAACTGTCTATTTCTGTATCCCCCACCCGATCCGACCAGGGTAACTACCTTAATTCGATCTTAAATTTGGATATGTTCTTTTTGTAACTCACGCGTGTAAGATTATAATGTAACTAAATCGACGATATCGGTTGATTAGTTATTGTAACCTCTCCCCCCTTTTTACAATTTGCAACCGCCAACCTCTAACTTAACCAGCTCCTCTTCTAACCTCCCCCCTAATTAGCCCCCCTCTTAAGCCGAAAAATACCTTAAGCGCCGGGTGCTAAACCTCATGAGAGAAAACCGTAGAACCTGTTTCCAAGCTCTGCTCAAGTAAAAACGTTCCTCAAAACAGTTGAAATCCGCTTATCCAATTTTACACTTATATCCTATAATGTAATGTGGATTCTAACGATACCCGATTGACAAACCAGAACACCCCTTTTTTTCTTTTTCTATTCATTTTTGGTTTTTGTTTCGCTTTTTGTCTTTTTGCTCGTTTTTTTTTGTCCCGCTAGTTACCCTCCCTTACTCGGTTAGCTAGGCCTCGTTCGGAGAGCGTACCAGGAAGTTTTCTTGAGTTTTCTTGAGAAGCTGTCACGGTAGAACCGGAAGGTTTACACGTTCCTGCTGAACCGTACCACCGGTAATCTAGAATGGGCATGTAGCCCGGAGCTGTGTCAAGTGGGTTCGACTCCGTAGTCATGATGTCGTAAAAACACCCAACACCCAGGAGCGCCATAAAACACTATGTAACAGTCGCCTACGTGAGTCATATATGAGGTTAAAGAAGAATAGGCACTATAACCATTGGCTCAAGAGTCAGGGACACTATCTCTTGTGTTTTTCTATATCGAACGGTCGGAGCCAATTCGGTTCACTTGCGACATGAGACTAAAACCCTCGTTACAGTTTAAAGGCCACTTCCAAGATACCCCCCACTCTAGAAAATAAGAACGTCCCCATACTTAGGTCTCAAAATACCCAAAATACGCGAACGCCGTTAAAAACAGGGTCGGAACATTCCTTTTTAGTTGCTTTTGATTAGACAGTGGAACTTTGATCCATTTCAGATGGATCAACCTAAAACTCTCCTTACCACAACATAACAATTATAAAACACGCTCAAGAAAACTAAATTGGGTACTCACATACCAGCACACTCGAGAATTGGAGTAACTAAACTACTCAGCAACTCTAGCATTAAAGGGAATCAAGTACTAACTCAAAAAGTTTGTAATTAACGAATTCCAGCGAAGGAAATGAGTTTTGACTTGAGAAATAAGTTTTGGGGCTGGAACATTGGGAGACTTCGTTTGTCCACCTTTCCATCGAAGGTTCACTCTGGTCCACTTCAAGTTGATATCTTCTTTTCTCGTAATCGTTCTGTCTCCTATTTCAGGATAAGACAGCTCTACTCTAGTGTGATTTTTATATCTGGAAATTGCGAATAGCAATTTCCCGCTGCTTTTTCGACCACTTTTCCGCGATTGTAGTACGATTGTTCTGATCTAGTATTTCTGAGGTTTTCAGTGTCGCGAGAAAGTTGAGCATGACAGGCTCAATTCGAATTTTTGAAAAATTCCATTTCTCCCCAAAATTACGTTGTTCGTATTGCTCAAGGTCAAACTTCCAAATATGACCGACTGGCACAACTTGTCAATTTTTCGCTCTTCCGCTTCAGCGGCAGCCGTACCAGGGTTACAAACAGACTCGGCATTAATCCTACAAGGAGCTAGCTAAGGAGTCTACTACCGTTACATCTCACAAGAACTGCTTACCAACTGCCCATGGAACGAGCGTCAAACCGTCTGGTCGCTTCTGATCGGTCCTGTAGAGGTGTCGTGGTTCTAAAACAGACGGAATGTGAGTAGAGGATAAACTCTGCTTTATAAGGGCATTCAGGTTTGAATGCCTAGAGAATCTCCCTGCACTTTTGAGGCAAGAAAGACCATGCCAACCATCCTCGGTAACGTCTTTTCCGCACACGCATTTATGCCGTTCGCATATTTTTGAGCCCAATCGAAGTTCTATCGCAATTCTGAGTTGTTGGTTTGACAGTTTTAATCTTAAATTTTTGAACGGGCTGACGTTCAACCATTGGGAGCCAAATCTATATTGGAACGCGTTGAATCTTTCTACGTCCATTGGTTCGAGTCGTAAAAACAAGTCTGCAATTTCGCTGTCAAAATTGGCTCCGTCCATTTTTTGTTTTTCATTTTCCGGGGCCATTTCATTTTTTCCAAGTTCAAGCCACCGTTTAAGCGCATCATCACATAAGGTTCCATCCGCATGCTCCAAACCAAAGATTGTGCTCAAGGCATTTTTGCTCCTACTGCTGAGGCTAAGAAAGCGGGTAAAGCGAGTAGACGAGCGGAAGAAACGCCCAAGCCACCTTTGGCTGCCGTTAGAACTGCTTGTAAAAACTGGTTATCATCCATTTTCACGTTAGTGATAATGCATTACGAATTTCTTAGCAATTTGCCGTAACGTTCCAAAAAACCATTTTGCAGAAAACAAGGGCTCGTACGCAAAAAATATAGGAGTTTTGGCATGCTAAAGCAATTTTTCAGGAGGTAAAAACCATAATGGACGTCTAGTTTGTCAATGACATCCGAGATTTTTCAAGCTCCTTAATTTTTTTGTCGAGGAATTCTTTTCGGCAAAGTTCGCCGATTGGAGATCCTAAAATGAGGAGTTCTTCTTTTGTTTTTATTTTTGTTTTGGGGCATATTTTTCGAAATTGTGTTAAAAATGAATTATACTGTGTACTAGTAGTCGGTCCCAAAAAACAAAGTTCGCACTTCTCAGTGTTCAAGCTCAGGCCGTAAATTTGTTCCAATTTCAGAATGTTTTTAAGGTCCCGGAGTACTACTTTATAGTCGTCGGCTAAATTTCTATCATCTAAATACCAGAAATTAATTTACGACACCAACTGTTTGACTAGTGTATGAATTGTTTCCGAAAAAGGGGTGGGGCTTCATGATCACCTTGCTGAGTTACGTCTTCTGACATTATGATAGAGCTTCCGTAAAAAAGGTAACATGGTTTACCATACGCGCAATGGGTTTATTTATACAATTCGGGGCGATTTGAATAAACATGATTCAGCATTTATTCTCTGTTTAAAGAGTTAAAGGCATTCTTAAAATCTAGTTTTAAAAGAACAGTGCATTTTGGATTGTCGTCGCGTTCAATTAGGTTTCGGAACGAGTGCGCAGCTATTTCTACTCCTCGTTTGGTACCGCATCCTACCTGTTTTTTTCCGAAAATTTTTGTCGCTCGGAGAGGGCCTTGCTTCCAGCGCATTTAGACGCGATACGTCTCAGCGTGTTGGCTATGGCAATCGGTCTCAACCCTCCGTCTATCTTTATGAGGGCGATAAGCTTTGCGCCAAAAAAAGAAAGGTCTTAGGGGTTCGGGTATTGTGTCATCTCCATTGAGGTTTATCAGCTTAGTAAGCGATTTCAGAAAATTAAGTCCTGCACTGCCATTCGACTTACTATTAGGATCTTTAAAAATTTGAGGAACTATTTTATCAGGACCTGCTACTGATCCGTTCGGAATGGACATTATCGCTTTGTATAGTTCGAAATCGGTTACGAAAAAACTATCCAAATTTTGTGGATTTGGAGCTGCAAATTTGGCTCGTTGATGGTGCTTAGAGAACAATTTTTGATAATTATCAGCTGAAAAAGGAGCAATTTTTTCATCCGAAGCAGCAAGCCTCATTCCTCCCTTTACATTTCCTTCGTCGAGCTTACTACTTATTAGCTTTATTCTCTGCTCGAGGTCACTCAGAGGCGGGCTTGAAACAACTTGGGGATGGGATTTTGGAAGTGACACGTCATTTGCTCGAAATTTTTTATTTATCAAAGAGCTCATGCTTGAGGTCTGTTTGCGTCCGCTCTTTTTCGGTTGCTCCAAAAAAAAGAACGACGTTAAAAAAATTAGCCATTTTGTAACATCTTCTACATTGTAGACGATGTCATTTACTTTGTCCGACAGACTTTCCGCCAAGGGAACACGCGAGTCTTTTGGTAGTCTCTTGAGTACTCGGACATTTGAGAGGTCCGAGTATTAATAGTATTAACATAATTGTCTAGCACTAAATCACTACCTATTGTTTTTTTGTTAACAGAATTTACATCAACGTGTATAACGCATTGGGTTTTCTTAGAGTCGCTACGAGAAATATTTACACAACTGATTTGATACCAACTAGAACAACAATCACATCTAATCCAATTTATCAGTCCTGAAGGTTTTCAGCAATCTTTGCTTGCACACTCTTTGTTGTTTTTCCTCATCTTGACGCAGCATAAAGGGTGATAAGCGGTTAGTGGGAAATTTATAAATCAGCAAATAAAAAAAAGACAATTAAATTTATTTAAATTTTAAAATCGAATTATAAAAATCAAAAACAAGGAACAAACTCAGTAGGTCCAGCGGTGCACCACCAGACTCTTCAAGCCAGTTCCAGTTTCCCACCTCCCCACAGAAAGTCACTTGACAGTTCTGTCTCTAAAATCCCTCAGAGGGCGCTCCACAAACAGGCACAAACATCAAACATAACAAATCTATTTAATAAGTTTATCACAACAGTTACTGCGTACTGACTGGCCAGGCATGCCGAAAGCTCGTGAAATGTGGATAAATGTTTTATCCCAATTAAATAGTGCAAAAAGGCAAACAGATTATCTGCATGACGGCTATTAGACGCAGTAAATTTCTAGTGATGATAGACTAATTTAGGAAGCCATCAGATCAGGGCTGTTCGAAAATCAATCGCGATTGCAATCGAGTGCAATCATGCAAGATTTTTGGCAACAAAAAATGATGATCAGAATCGGTGAAATCCTAATTGTACCATCAGAAACGATGTGTTTTGTGTTACTTGTCAAGTGTTTTGATTACTTAATCTACTGTTAGAGTGTTCCAATGCAGTAGGTAATTCTTGTTTTCAGATACCTGATTGTGTATCCCGTTGTGCCTCAATTAAAATATCTTTCAAGACTACTTTCGCTTTAACAATGGTAGCAGGAGGTAGTTTGTAATGGCCTCTTACAACAATCTACCATCTCTGAGTGATGGTGTATCTTACGACAGTTGGCGTTCTGAAGTCAACATTTGGCGAAGAATGACGGATATAGCTAAAGCGAAACAAGCACTTGCTGTCACGTTGTCTCTGACAGGCCAGTACAAAGAAGTAGGCATATTTGTCAGTGTCGATCAGCCTAACATCGAGGAGGGGATGGAAGCTCTCTTGGCTGTGATGGATGCCAATTTTCAGAAAGAATCAGTGGACTGTGCCTATGAAGCGTATCACAATTTCGAAGTGTTCAGAAGAGGGGATTTATTGGTGTCTTCTTTTCTTATTGAGTTTGAAAGGCGCTACACGAAGCTGAAAAGTCATAGTCTCCCGCTGCCAGAAGAGATTCAGGGTCGCAAGTTGCTAGAAGTTGCTGATTAACAACAGTCCCAGAAACCAATGTCAATTTCTGCTGTTACTTCTTTGAAGTACTCCGATGTTAAGCGAGTTCTTCGTCGTACGTTTTTCGGAATTGGCGAGAGTGCCGATGAAGGCGAAATACGGGTAAAGTAAGAAGCGTTTTTTGCTGGTAAGCACAGTAGCAGATAGTGGGATAAGCGCAAAGACGATCGCAAGAGTGACACGCAGAAGCAAGGTGGTGGTGTGCGAAGTTCTACATTGAAGCAGAACACAGTGAACGTACCCGCAGAGCACTGAGGCACAAAATACGGAACGTTAAACAGCATTTTTAAGTAGGCGACTGCGTGTTTCATAGGCGTTTTGGACGCTAGAGTGGCCCCGGTAAAGTTATCGGACGAGACGGTAAAATTCTTTACGCAAGAAACGGAGGACAACAAGTTGCAAAAGTCCACGAAACAGACCTTTCGTGCTCTTCATTTGACGTTCCAGGGTCGGAAAAGCAGTTAGGAGTATCAGATTCTGTTGAAGAGAAGGTGATTTTGGAACCCAACACCGTCAATTTGGACGAGAGCATCTGTAAAACAGGAGCTGCTGACGATGCGGTGATTGCAGAGGAGAAAATTCAGACAGGAACTTCCATTTTGCAGTCCAACGACAAAGTGCCGGAAGTGATTTCTGATCAGATGCGTGAAATTTCGAAAAAGTTCGAGAAAAACGACAAAATAAAGTTCACTGCGGCCAACGAATTTGGACAGATCGTAGACATCCAAGGAGTTATCGATGGACGTGCTGGAAAAGCTAATGGGAAGCGGAAAAACTGTTACAATGTTCTTTATGAGTCACCAGAAAATGTGAAACGGAGCGTTGGCTGGTGGATTTTGATCGCGTTGACAACAATGATCACGTCGAGGAATTACAAGAATAATTTGTCTCAGGTATTCCCACTAATGTAGATTTCTTACCCTCGAAAAAGAAAGAACTCGACTCTTGGCTTGGGTTAGGAGCATATGAACCAGTATCAGACTGCGGCCAGAAAACAATAGATACTCGTTGGGTTCTGATATTAAAAAAACTGGCAGATGGCTCAGAAGTTCCCAAGGCAAGACTGGTGGCAAGAGGATTTCTGGAGAAAAGTATCGCGAAACATAAGAAAGAATCGCCTGTTTTGACACGTGAATTTATAGGCATTTTTCTGTCGATTGCTGAATTCTTCAACTGGTAACTTGTCAGTCTTGATGTCGAAACCGCATTTCTTCAGAGTGACAAGCTGAACAGAGACGTATTCATACGACCTCCTCCTGCGTCAGAGCAGCAAAATGTACTTTGGAGACTAAAGAAACCAATTCATGGCTTGATAGATGCGTCTAAGCATTGGTTCTCCAAACTTTTGCAAGTTTTCAGTGATTACGGGTTGAAACAATGTGAAATTGAACCATCTCTGTTCACAATGAAGACAGATTCATCAGAGCTGGAAAGCCTCGTATTGTCTCACGTGGATGATTTTCTGATCACAGGTACTCATCAAATCAGGAACAGTTTTTTCAGTTCTTTGAAACGTACTTTCACGATTGGTTCAGAGTCGAGACTGCCTCTGATAATCACTGGACTGGCAATCAAGAAAGAAGCAGACGGTACAATTTCGGTTTTACCAAGAAAAGTTCGTTGAAAATTTGGTTCAGTTGGATTTTGAACCAGACACTCATGATGTTTTATCAGAACGTGAGGTTGAAGCGTTCAGAAGCCTTGTTGGTAAACTTCAGTGACTCAGCAGTCACACAACGCCGGATCTCAGTTTCAGTGTTGATACAATTATCAATTGTGATGGCATGCGTGTCGATCGCGCTAAACTTGCCAACAAGCTGATACACCGGGTGATTTATGAGAAAGACTGTAAACTGATTTTCAGGCCACTCTTCTTCACAGAAAAGCCGCAATTACGACTTCTAAACCTGTGTTTTTTCTCCGATGCTGCGTTTCAAAATCTCCCAGATGGTGGTTCTCAGGCAGGTTATGTCATTGGACTTTTCAGAACTATTACTGAGACTTTTCATCTGATTGGCTGGAATTCTAAGCGGGTTAAGCGCATAGCAAAAAGTACTCTAGCAGCAGACACGCTAGCTCTTCAAGATGCGATTGACCCCGCTTTGTCTCTGAACAGCATTTTAAAATAAAATTCTGGATGTAGAGTTTGAAATGATAGAGTAAATTGATAGCAAGCAACTGCACGATTCATTGAAGTCTGCGAAAGGCGTGACTGAGAAGCGGCTACGCGTCGATATAGCCGCTATACATGAAGTTATCGATGAGAAAAATCTCTTGATAAAATGGCTGCCAACCGCTTCCAGCTAGCTGACTGTATGACCAAGAAAACAGCTCCAACAGACCAACTTTTGAGCGTCATGGAAAGTGGATATCTCCTTAGAGTAATCAGTGACTGATTGAGACGCGTTTGTGGCTTTAATAGCACTTGAGCCGTTAATTACGCCTCGAACAAAATAAAAATGAAAACAGTGCAGTTTGTTATTTTTAATGTAATTTGTTTACTTAATCTACCGTTAAAGTGATCCAATGCAGTGTGTAATTCTGATTTTCAGATACCTGATTATGTATCACGTTGTGCCTCAACTAAAGTATCTTTCAAGACTGTTTTCGTTTTAACATTTTGTGTGGGTTTTAGTGGAAGTGTTTTGTGACCAACTGATAGCACACTGAAACTCGAGAAATGGTTGTCCCATTACGTTTCTGTCTGAAATCGCAATATTTTTCGCAACAGACTTGACATTATGCGCTGATGAAGAGGTCACAGATACATACCGCAAGTGCACTCAACAACCTATTTTTCAAAGAAGAATGGACTGGCTGAGAGACCAAATCGGTAAATCAGTAAAGTTTTTGAATTTAAAAAGCTCAAGGCACACGTACACGATACATTGGTATAAAAACTTGCCCGAGGCAATCGGAGAGCATAGCAGTACTCAAACACTTCACGACAGGTACCAGTCCTTTCACGATGCTAATCGTAAGAGAAGAAGCAATGACGTGCTTTCATCCTGAGTACGTGCCGAAAAAGGTTTCTAACCAGGTGTACGCAAACAAGCACCCAGAGACAAAAAACGCTGAGTGATCTGTGCAGACCCAAAACTATTCAAGCACTTATGCCCCAGAGGAAAATTGCGCTTGAAAGATCATAAGAGCAAAATTTTACCCGAAAATGTGGCTGCGCTAAGCTCAAAAAAGTCAAAGATACTATTATTATGATTATTATTATTATGATTATTATTATTATGATTATGATTATTATTATTATTATTATTTAAAAAAACTCATGTGTACAAAATACACAAAGGAGTTTCCTCCTAAACCAAGAGAACAAATGCGCACAAAACAGCTTATAAGCGCTAAGTAGAGCTCAAATCATGATGGTATGTGTCACGAAAGTGAGTCCAAAAATAGCGAAGCAAACGCCATTTCAGCCTGATGGGCTCAATGAAGTTAACCATGGTGGGCAATTTATTAGCAAGTGTGGGAGCTCTGTACTAAAAACTCTGCTCGCACACTTTTCTTCGTGGTTTGAGAACATCAAAACAAATTCGGTCGACTAGTCGCGTGCCGTAGCTATGAGCGGTGACTGCGAGGTATCTACTAAGATCATGATAATTTGGCAGACCAGTGCACCATCGTAACATTTTTTATTTGCACTGTCTCAAGTTTTTTCAGGTCACCCAGATCTGGATAGCAGCACGTGGAAGCATACATAAACTGCGGGAGAATCAATGACTTGTGCAAATCTAACTTAGATGCGGTTGACAGATTGGGAGAACTGCGGCGTAGCATGAAAAAAGCGCTAAGGGCTTTTTGACATTTGAAGTTTACGTGTTGATGCCACTTCAAGTCGGTTGTGATAAGTAGACCAAGATCTTTCTGCAAGTCGACAGGAGCAAGGACGGTGTCATTCATTCAAATTTCAGTCTCCGATGAATGCAGGAAGCAAAGTCTATTGGACTTGGCAGGGTTCACAGTTAGATTAGATTCACGGCACCAGTTGAACAGCTTGTCAACATCACATTGTAGGTTGCTAGCAGGTAGCCCACAGCTAACCAACTTGGAATCGTCAGCGCACAACAGGGGCCAGGTGAAATCACATGAGTCCGA